CTCTCCCCCCCAGCCGCCCACCGGCCGCTCTGGCCCGTCAGGCTGTTCTCCCGCTTACCGTCGTATTGATTTCTCCTCAGAAGCTCTTAAATTGTTTCTTTATTTTGCTCAAACACACATTTTGTCTCTGGCCAGCCCTCCAGCCCACCCAGACGTGCCGGCTGGCCTCGCCGGCATAGCCGGGCCCTTCCTGGCTAATCTGGGATTACCGACTGCCTCCCAGGCCGCCTGCCGCTCCTCGTTCCATCACAGGGACCCTGACTGCAAGCCAAGCCAAGCCAAGCCCTGCGTGAAGCATGAGCCTATTTTATATCACGCAGTCCAGGCCATTTACCCGCTGCGTTCTTACTCAAGCAGTCCTTTAAAATGTACTTTTATTATCGTTGTTTAATTACCACACAGATAAACGGTATAGCAACTGCAAGATATCGGATGCAGTGTTTTATTTTTTACTTTTGTCGTAGTAATTATATGGGTATTGTTAAGAGGACTGTTTTGGAAATCGGAGTCTGCTTTGTTCACAGAAAAGAGTTTCTTAAAGGCATGCAGTGCATATTTTCATCAGCTGCATTCAAATGGAAATTATCCTCTTATTATCCCCCTAAATAAGCAATCCTTTTTGATTACTTTGTAGGGCTCAGTAGTTTCTCTTGGAACATACTGGAATGTCTTCGATGCGAGGAGTTTATAAAAATGGCAGAAGAATCAATACTGAAAACTGTGCAGGTTTTCTATAAAATCGGCCAATTGGTTAACAGATGGACGTGATGGTGAGTCTCTGGGGATCACTCAAAATGATATTACGGCAGCTGTTCAATTAACGTCTTCATTAGCGGCCAGCAGAAATACCGCCCCCCACCTGATGGGGGCTGCTGGAGTGGCTTCTTTCATGAAATGTGACAGAATAGCGTTTTAATCCTCTTGTCTAAATAATTCTGAAGAGTGTTACGGCAGTAAGGGCAAAGGTCAACTGACTGACTGTCAGGGACACCAAAACTGCGGGCTGCCTGGGGACCTACATTAATATGAATTAATAATAAAAGTTTAAAAAAAAATTGTTACCCCTCTGCTAATCAAACCCATCATGTTGTATGATGCTAAAAATGAGATTTGACAGACTTCTCAGCTGCTATACTGTTCAGTATTATACAATTCCTGTACGCTTCTTTTTATTCATTAAAAATTACACAGAAATATGCATGAAGAATAACCTGTACAGACACATGCATGTATTTACATTGGTTTCAGCAGCATAGAAAGTACCAGAGAGTGTAGGTCAATTTTGTCTTGTGCTCTGGACAGCGGGAAGCTGAGCATTATGGGTAGCGGTGGGGCTGCCCTTCGTGATGGCTTCTGCCCCATTTATTCTCTCCATCTGGTGGGGGCAGAGCCACAGCTGTGTGTGCAGCGTGTGGGCCGTGCTGCTCTGACGCGGTGAGTGGAGGGGGCAGTTGACTGATATGTGAGTCTACTTGAGGGGTGGAGGGGGGGGGGCTTGCCCAGCTTAGCTTTATAATAACTCCACTCTGATCACACAGCTGGGAATGAGGCCCAACAAAAGCCAGGCCTTAAGGAAGGGGATCACAGGCCGCTTGTAATTAGGGGATTGCATTTTGGCCCCTGCCCCAGGGGGATTGAAACATCTCCCCAAATTAATTTGTAACTAATATCAGTGCCCCCCATTTTGTAAACAAAAAGGCAGATGAGAGGTGATTGATAAAGCCAGATGTTTGTTAGAACCGGGGTTTTCGTTTCTTTATTTATTAGCACAGTGGTAAATGAAATCAAATACAGTCATGAGCCGCATAACGACATTTTGGTCAGCAATGGCCTGTATGTATGATGGTGGCCCCACATGATTATAAACAGGCTGCCTGACGACATTGCAGCCATCATACCATCGTAGCACGACGCATTACTTGCGTGTTTGTGGTGATGCTGGTGTAAACAAACCTACTGCTCTGCCAGTCGTACAAAAGGGTAGGACATACAATTATGTGCAGTACAAAATACTCAATAATGATGATAACTATACTACTGGTTTATGATTTACCATACTCTGCTTATAAACAATTTACTATAGCCTTGATGTGTAGTTGGCTGTTCCATCTAGATCTGTGTAAGTACAGTCTATGATGATCACACAACGATAAAATCACTTAATGTTGCAGTTCTCAGAATGTATCCCTGTCGTTAAGCAATACTGTCTTTCAACGGAATTAGCAGGATGACCATCGAAATGTTCCTGAAAGCTGTTTTCCTTCATTTTACTCCCGGCTTCGTTGCATCCTTGAGTTTGCCAGTAGATACTAAATTGCTGCAGAGGTTTTAGTTCTTGAACGGTTCAGGTCGGCTGCCGTGCTGGTTTCAAAGGTTCTGGGCTTTCAGGAGCTGATAGGCAAGGAAGATCGGGGCGTGACTGTCGGTGTGTTTACACCTGCCGTCTCGCGTTGCTAACGCGCTAATGCTCCTTCCGGTGCAGACTGGCGAGACCGGGAGCTGATGCGAGAGATTGAGGCTGCCACAGGAGAGGATCTGGGCTCCTCCAGGTTCTACGGGAAGGGCAAGAAAGGGTCCAAGGGCAAAGGCAAGAAGAGGAAGTACCCCAACCTGACAGACCTGAAGCAGAGCGCAAACACGTCTCGCTCCAGGCTTGAGAGAAAGGTCTTCAACAAGTGAGTACCGAACTTCATAGCTGTGGGTAAAAAAATGACTAATGTCAGATTACGTGGACTGTAAGAAGAATCATTAAAATCCCTATACTGTAATATGTATATATATCTCACACCTGTTTGAGATGGGATTCCTTTGCTGCAGTGGGAATATAAGCTTATGTTGGAGAATATGTTACAGTGCTGTAGGTATTGATTTTGTATTTGACCGTCTTGTATGCTAGGGGGATGGAAAGGTTGCCGCCTCACTCCTCAGAGAGATGTCTTTATGAGGGAGAGCGATCACGTTGAGCCGTGGGGGCACGGGGGGGACACCCAGGCGACTTCTCTGAGCCAGAAGCTAATTCTGAAATTCTTAGGACCTTAGCCTCTGAAGACCAGGCCTGTAGAATCTCATTAGAGCGATACAAACTCTATCCATCTTTTTTCTGCCGTTTTTCTCCCATCCTGTGCAGGAGCTCCATGAGACGAGTCACAGAAGCCATGAATCGAATGGACCAAAGGAAGCACGAAAAGTTTGCCAACCAGTTCAACTATGCCTTGAATTAAGCTTCAGTTCAACTACGCCTTGAATTAAGCTTCAGTTCAACTACGCCTTGAATTAAGCTTCAGTTCAACTACGCCTTGAATTAAGCTTCAGTTCAACTACGCCTTGAATTAAGCTTCAGCCGTGTTGGTCTTCAAACGGACAGGATTTATAAATGAACTCGGTTGATGCTGCACGTCTAAGTTGTAGCAAATATCGAAGTCGATAATTTGAATCATTATCCTTACCTGCAGTAATAGACGTTTTATATGAATTAATGACACATCTTTGATTATCATGTATTTTCCTGTGTTAGGTTCTTGATTTAAATGTGAAATGTTTTGACCTTTTCTGATTTTTGTGATGGATAAAGAGATTTTGTAACATTCTTTGTCCTTTGTCTGTTGACTTTGAAAGCTTGTTTGTAAACAACTCTTCACTGACATTATCATCCCAGCCCTGCTGTAGTATGCTATGGTGCTATAAGTAAGCGAGACGTGATATTTCATTAATTAAGGTAGTCTGAATACCCTGCAGATCAACTGTGTTGCACTATTAATCAAGCATGTGTAATTTGCCATTCATCAGTAGGAGGAAGTAACTTGTATAAATGGAACTTAATTATTATTATTTATTACTATAATTATTATTTATTCATGTTTTGACTGAACTCCAGGAGCAATAAGTAGAGATATAGATATTTATTTTCAAACCGGTTAGTAACTACAACCTTTTGAAACATAGATTATACCCAATAACTTCACAAAAAAGTTTCACGGATCTATTTTTCTTTGAATGTCCATTGCGTAGCTGTTTACTGTTACACAAAGTCTACCATAGTCATTATTGTTAAGGTCTTTGTAGCAGATTATCACTGACTGAGTAAAACACCATGCGAGTAGGGAAATGTAGCAACCAACCATGTCAAGTTCTGTGAATCTAACAGAAAAAGTGAAAGAAAGTACATCAGCTGTCATGCACCCAACAGAGGAGATGGGGGACATTTACTGTAACGCAACGTGTTAATGGACGTAGTAATCAAAACGCAGTTGGCTAATGCACGTCATATGCAAGAATAAAATTTTACTTGATATTTTCACAGTTTCTAAACAAGGTGACCCGTCAAATATATCGTTTTATTTACATGAAGTTGAAAATGTTGACACAAAGTTGAAATGTGTACATGTTAGGTTAGTTGATTAGGTAAATTTCTTTGGATGACTGCATACATCAGTTTTAATAGCCTAGTTGGCCAGCTGAATTTTAAAATCAGCTTACTTGCTTATAATGAATGGGCAGAGCTGGTTTTCCTTCGTTAGTATAAACCAAGACTAATGGAATCTTGCTTATAATGGTTGTAAACAATAAACTCCGTTGAATTAAGGGTGGGTGGTTCACCTTGACATTTCTACCTGCAGCCAAAGCAGTTCATCTTGAAACTTACTCCCACGTTTCCCAGCCTAATCAGTTACTGGTTGTTATTCCTGTGATCTGGGGTGTCGGAGGGACACGGATACCCCGGCAGATCCAGCGGGCCCATCACTTGATAGAGCACCATCAATATAAAAAATTATACATAAAACTGGGCGGAGGGTAGAGTCCTGCCGGTTATTATCTAGTGCTGCGCATTTAAATGGCAACGCGATCAGCGCCTAAGACGCTCAGCCCGTGCTGCCGCTGTAATGTTGCATGGGCGCAGGCCACATCAGACTTTCTCTTCACTAGGTAATTACGGTAAATGCCGCTTTTAACAGACGCTTAATTCCCCTGTACACATGCGATCCCTCAGCTAACCTATAGAAGACTAACGACCAGACATTCCACGTATTTTCAAAAAGTAATATATATATATATATGAAGACTTTGGGACAGGACAGCGCTTCCGTTTTGTGTTAGATGATCTTAAAAGTCGGTCACGTGGCTATTTCTCTTTGTCTTGCGGTCATCTGGGTGTTTTAGCAGCCGCAGTAATTATAATCACGTGATGCACAAACTGCTGCCACCGTGCAGCCGCGCATCAGGCGTGCTGTTAAATCCTTTAAAAATCAATTTTGCGTTCAGTCATTTGGAGGTGTGTCTAGTATTATTACTATATTTCGAAAATATGCGGTATGTAAATGGTTTTTATCTAAAAACTTATTTTTAAATGAGCTTGAGAATGAGTGTAAGGCGATGCTGCTGTGAAATAAACGATAATGCACTTAGGATGCAGTCTATTTCAAAAACTATTAGGATGTTCTGCTTTTCATTCGGGAAGCGCAAAGAAACATGGTATAGAAATGCATCTATAGAGATAACTAGCGAATATGAACTCCAGCCTGTATTAGAATTGTTTTAGGGGTTTGCGTGGTTTTCCAGCTTGAAGCTGTGATGTGTGTTTCTTGCAGTGATTCCTCTTGCCAGTAGTTTTAATTATTCCTTGTCACTTTGCCCATCTTCATAAAGAGACTCCATCAAATATATTTTCGCTTGTATGTAAATGATGACTGAATTTTATCGTGCTTAAAATCTGTCATTAACCACGTACACCCTTCGGTATCCGCCAGGAATAACCTCTAGCGAGCTGTTGCATGAGGTAATTAATAATTTGTTTTTAAATTAACAAATAATTTAAAAATACGTTTGACAGTGTATTTCGCCGTTATAGACATTAATAAAATACATTTGTGTCTGACCTCGGGGGGTGGGGGGGCGGATTGTAAAGACAACTTTGTACCTATCACGTCTATTAAAATCATGAACAGTTAAATAACTAGATGAGCACTGGGCGTCGATATCGCACTGGTAATAGATGTCCTCAGGCTTTTGAAAGTGAATGGGGCTTGTTCGTTCCTATAAAGGAAAACTTTTAAATCCCAGAAATTATTTTTTCCCTTTTTTTTAAAATGTGCGTGTTTCAAGTGTTGGAAATGCCTGGTATGTAAACCTGAAACTATGCCCTCTCTTACTCATTTATATATCTGCATTCTCTATTGGTAGTCTTACTTACTATTTTGAAAATCACATAATTTGATGAAGTTGCGACTCCTACAAGCCAACATACTTAAATGGTATAATTGTACTGGTTAACAGCGTATGCCCTCAATTTGAAAAATGATAAAATGTGTAAGTTGTACAATGTTTCAGGTACGTCCACAATGGGCAAATATTTTAGCGACCATTTCCCATGTATAGCGTCATGTTTCTTGTAGTAAATAGTTATTCAGGAGATCACAGCTTGGATACATTCTTTATATCAGTAAATACAACAGGCGGCCACAAACAAAACAGCATCTGAACAACAACTAATTTATCTATAATTATTCTATTTCTACAATTGTAAATGTAATCCAACCTTAAATTATCTGGAATCCGTTGTATAGTTAATAGTATCTCGTCGTTTTTTTTATAAATTATCTACGGGCCGTTTTCCATTATTCGAAACTAAAACATTTTCTTCCGGATATGTTTTTTTTTTTTTTTACATTTTTAATTCTGTGTAAAGTGAAATAGGACATTGGCACAAATATGGCACATTTTTGTTGACTGCAATAAATCGTTTATTTACCACTATAGCTTTTCTCGTGCACGTGTTTGTATTGGGCCTATTAATTTAAACTTTAAGAAAACGTATGTGACTTTAATAGTATGAGTACATAGACATATGAAATCACATTAATATTTTTACCACTTTTAAAGTTACTTGTGGTCATTTTAGTCAGACAGGTGACGAATACGAATAAATTCATACGGGAAATAATACCACGTGTTTGCTTACAACATATTAACCGGTTTATTTATTCAATGTTGCCTCTTTGTATAAGTGCTCTTCTGGTCAATATCTATTATGAGTCACTTTATTTTACAATAAATAATTTAAAAATTCGTCAGTATATAATAAGCAATATACATAAGATTGACACGTGCCTCGTTTTTTTCAGGTGACACAACAAAGTCGTCGTTAAGTGACACTCCAACATTTGCAGAATTTCGCTACAGTCAGTTCGCTTACATCCTTCTGTGGAGAATCCAAAATGAAATTAAAAGCCTACGACACAGAATATAATAAATGTTTGATAGCGTGGGAATTAATTTGGCAAACTTAAATTTTAAAATAACTTTACATTTTTCCTACTAATCGTAAACAGTTTGATTAAACAATACTTATACGTATTATAAGCCATTCCAGATGAAAAATGTTGTGCCTTCCTAAATGGCATGAATATTTTTTTTCAGAATATACCTGTTTTAACCATTCCACTTTTCTAATCTTTTAAAAAATGCATTCAGATGTGTGACTGATGACTTACATACGTATCACCGTTAATTAAATATACACGCGTCTATGTGGCTCAAAGACAAAAAAAAATACAATTTAGCAAAATTAAAATCAAATTAACTTACAGATACAAAAACATATGTAATTAGTTTGTAGCCATTAATAGTCCATAAGAGACACGACAAACTAAACGAAACATTTGTCGGGAAGACACTAAACTTCATGAACATCTTCAGCATTAGATGCATTTGTCCATTAGATGCATTGAAACATAGTCCGAAAAGTTCTGTTCTTTTAATTTTTTCCACAATGATCCAAAACATTCTTCACGCTTTCATTGATTTTTTTTTAATCGGCGGATTTTTACAACTAACAGACAAACAAGTCTGGTTTTGTATAAAACAGGCGTACTTCCAACTTTGTTATCGTCTTTACAAATGCGGGGTGTAAAATGCGTGCCCCCCGTAAGTCTGGGATCCTAAGACGAAAGGTGACAGGACAGCGGGACTGGGCAGAAAGGGTAGCTGTGTGGCACACACTAGTCCTCCGGGCGCATGACCCGGGTAGCCTGCGTGCATTGACAGATGGCCGGTCATGGGGGGAGATGGACTCAGAGGACTGAGGTTTCCGAGTCCATTGCCCGGACCGTTCGGACCCCCGCCGCCGCCACCGGTAGGAGCGCTAGTATCCGCCCCAGGATTCTGCTTCTTCCATTTGGTCCGACGATTCTGAAACCAGATCTTCACTTGGGTTTCTGTTAAACTGAGTGACAGCGCCAAATTGAGCCTTTCACACACGGACAGGTACCTAGTGGACTTAAATTTGTTTTCCAGAGCCACAAGTTGTTCGTAGGTAAAGGCGGTCCGGGCTCTTCGGGGTTTGCCCGATTTGGAATCAGAGCCTGATCGCTTCCTTTTCGGTTTGGCTTGCTGGTTCTGGCCGCTCTGTTGATTCTGCTGTGCGGTGGGACTGGAACTCCGGGTGCCCGGTTCGTCCTCCTCATGGTGACACAGCTCAGAGTCCGCATTGCCTGCAAGACCAGCGCTACTCTCCTCACTGCAGAGCTCGTCCTGAGTCTCGCTGTCGGGACTTCTGCTGTAGTCGTTCTCGCATTCGTCCGTTTTGAAGGC